GACCCCAGGACACAGCAAGCGTCACCAATACGAGCCAGCTGCCAAGCATCAGATTTTTGATCACGTGACCATAGGAATAATGCAATGGTCGCTAAGTGTGAAAAACGGTCATGTCACTTTTTTGTAGTGCCGTTGTAATTTTGAATGGTCACTAAATGAATGGTTGTAAGTCGAGGACTACCTGTATAAATCAAAACATCTAAGGTCACCAATTTATGCTATACATTATACCATCACATGGTCCCCATCAAAATCCTACCTACCGAATCTTCTTCTGCACACTAATTTGTACATCTTGAACTGCTGGAAGGAGTTTGATGACTACTATCTAATTCAGAAGTTTCAGTAATCCTGCCACACGTAAACCATTTTGATCCTATAAACATTATCATAACTATTTGGTGCACAAAAGAGGAGCTCTTGGGCAAGTTGACTATATATTAATTCTTATGACTGTTAACTCTACAAAAAGACATTTTCAAACAATTGCTTAAAAAGATAACTCTCAATAAATAAAATATTTCATATCACTTAAAAGCAAAACTTTATTTTGCATCCAACCACTCTAAATTTTGGTCCTGCAGCACAAGCAGGATTCAGCTCATTAAGCCAAGAGAAAGATGGTCTCTCGGGAGAAATTCTGTGCACATATTTGGAGCCACTTTGCCTCGTCTTCTTTTGTCAGCCTAACAGAAAAATGCACAAGGAAAGGAAAGTGACTTCTTCTAGAAGAAGAGTTTAACAATCGGTGGATCAGAATGCATCTTTATGCTTAAAGGTTAGCCAGAAACAAGGAGAAGTCTCATATGAAGCCAGATCAATTGTTGTCAAGTCTGACAAACCTTGACAGAACAAATGAACCAGCAAAATATTTAAAAGCCTGATTTGGAGATAATACTGATTGATGTTTTTAACAGATTAACAGAGATGGAAAGGACCTTGTAGGTCATCTAGTCCAACCCCCCACTGAAGCAGAAGAGTCTAAATCATTGTTGACAGATGGCAGTCCCATCTCTTCTTGAAACTAAAATAAAAAAAATGCTATGGTCTCATATTGACTTGCAATCCACTGGAATAAACAGAACTACCCAGAACTCTTAGGAGTTAAAAAAAATAACCACTTACCTTTGATTGTTGGTTATTTTGTTATCCTTCATTGGTACATTGAAATCAACCCTTAAAAAGAATAAGATAAAATGTTATTGTTTTAAGCAGATTAAAGCATTGCATTGACAATAATAAAATCTTACAAGACTTTTTAAAAGGGCCTACATCAGATTATATTTGGGTACAAAATGACCAGATATTGCATCATGCTAACAGTGCCATTCCTAGATACCTAATAAGCTAATTAAGAAAACTATCAGTAAATGTCTATGGAGATTCTCAGTCCTCCAGGTCATGGTTGTCCCAAAAGTGCTTTTTCTGGGTTTTCTTTGAAGATGTTTCTCTTGTCATCCAAGAAGCTTCTTCAGCTCTTCAGAGAAGAGAAACCAGAAAGTCCAGTTGCCTCTTGAAAAAGCACCTTTGGGACTATCAGTAGAGTAAAAACGTTTTAAAATAAAAGACAGGTTTTGGACTTCAGGTAAATTGTTATGGTCAAAGTTTAATGTACCATTATATCTGCATTTCTGTTGCAAACTCTAGTTTTCTTGGCTAAGTGCTTAAACTTCTATTTGCTGTGCCTTCCCCCAAACGTCCACACCACCAGTCTTTTGATACATAGAGCAGGGGGTAGATATGTGGATCAGACCTACTGGCCAGCTTTTAAAGGCCATTAATTACGCCAGTCTCAGCTAGAACTGAGGATCGTCCCTGCTCTACACAGCTTGAAGGTGCTTCACAGTCCATTTTTACAAAGCCATGTTTTCTGCCTCAAAGGGGAAGCAGCAGGAAATTATGTTAAACAGTATAAGCACGAAGACACAGGTTGTAAAGTTGAATTTTGTCATGAGCAATTGAAAAAAGCAATTTCAGGAGATGTCTTGGCTCTGAATGTATGATCTCAAAATAACAATCCCCATATTTTCAAAGAGACAAGCGAAGCAACAGATCACACCTTTTTTCACTTAATTAACTCTAGCATGTAAACACTATTTAATATAGTAGTTAAATAAAAATTGGAAACCATAACTGAAACAAAAATAATTCTTTGATGGGGACAACTTAAATATGTAGAAGAAGCCAATAATTCAAATAAACTTAAATATTAATTGGATAGCAATTTAGGCTATAAATATAGGTGTGAGATGGAGAAGATGCTAAACAAAGAGAAGAGGTTGATCTCTGCCATCTGAATCAAGACTCCATTACTCCATAGGATCAGAAATGGGAAATGGGGAAACCCAGAGCTTTGTGAATCAGATTCTCAGACTCTGTCAGAACAGAAGGGGAAGTACACCCCCCCCTTTTTTTTTAAGTGGAAGGACTTTGATACAGATTGCAAGTCGCCAAACACTGGGTATTAGCACAAATCATTTTGAGAAAGAAAAAAATGAATTAATGAATTACGCCAATGCACATTATCCCTGGGACAAAATGTTTTTGAAAGACAAGAAATGAATCATAGGAGGTTAATTTATGATCTGTACTGAGGGTTCCAGAATCAAGCTTGCATATTTTATGACAAACTCCCGCCATCCAACCCACTTTCAGCAATGCATTAGAAGGGGTTGTCACTCGGATGTGGTTAAACTGCAGCTCCTAGCAGGCAGCACTTGCATGTTCAATACTGAGGGATGTTGGCAGTGATACTGCAAAATCTGGCAGCATATCCATTTTATATGTAGCAAGTAACAGGAAAAACAGCCAGCCCTCAAGGCAACGAAAAATACTGATGTGGATGTAAATTCAGAGAGCCTTTCTCTCTTTACCTAAAAGAAAAAACATCTTGAATAGGGAAATGGCTTCAAGAGAAAAATGGTAGAATGCAAAATCCGAGCTAGTCCTCGATGACCTTGAGCAAATGTTTCATTTATTTTAAGGTTTAGGTAAAACTATTTTAGTCTCCATTCCACACAAAACTGCACAGTGTTAGTTGTCATAGTAGTTGTTGGTTTCCTTTTCAGGCAGATTTAAGCAGTTAGTTCTTTGTCTCAGCACTATTTTGCTAACGAAGACTCTCAATTTTCAATGGCAGATGGACCATTATCTATCTATCTATCTTCTTCTTGTGCCATATCTGTCATCGGACATTGGCGGTCCTATTTTTAGCAACAGCTGCACAAAAAAGTGCTGCTGAGTGAGTTTTGTCCAAACCAAACTCTTAGATTATCTATATACCATTAGCTATATATCGATTAAATCAAGTCTAGGGCAAGAGAGGATGACCCTTTCCCATTTGCACAGACCCTCCCTCCCCAGTTCTGGCACTGAGACGCTTGCAGGTCAATCAAGCCTGAAGGAAGGAAGGGCGCCTCCCTCGCCAGCCAAGCCCCCCCCCCCCCCCGCATGGAAAGCCTGGTTCCTTCTTTGACCGCCCTTATGCGGGCTTACTTATGAGGGAAGGTACCTACACCCTGGCTACACTATATACCAGCCTCTTTTATTCCGGAGGCGCCGATTGCAAAACTCTTGCCGTTAATCCGCTGTATTGTAGGAAGCGGGTTTATGGTTTTATTTTATTCCTTAGCGCAGGGGTCTCCAACCTTGGCCACATTAAGCCTTGTGGACTTCAACTCCCAGAATTCCCCAACCAGCTTTGCTCCCAGAGGAATTCTGGGAGTTGGAGTCCAAGGTGGAGACCCCGCCTTAAGAGTTCTTTCCACGAAAATATAAAATTGAAAATGAATTACAGCAACAAAAAAGGGATGAAGGAAGGAGAAGAGAGAAAGAAGAGAGAAGGAAGGAGAGAGGGAAGGGAAATTAGAGTAGGAGTGAGGGTAAGAGAGGGAGGAAGAGAGGAGGAGAAGGAGAAAGGAAGAGGAAGTAGGGAGGAGAAGAAGAGGGGGGAAGAGAAAGTTAAGAAGGAAAGAAAAGAGAGAGGTGGTAGGTTTGAGGAGAAAGATTGCTGTACAATAAAAAAGATTTAATTTAATTTAATTTAATTAATCATATTTCTATGCCGCCCAACTCCCAAAGGACTCCCAAGATGAAATGGAAGAAAGGCAACCCCAAACAAATATAAAGATATGAAGATAAAGAATGAATTGTTTAAAGAATGAAAGAGAAAAAATATGAATAAATAGCAATAATTAGAATTTAAGGGCAAATGAAGATGCTGTTTATGTAAGCAAGCCTAGAAATACTGAGACATGATTTTAAAAAAAGGGGAAGAAAGATTTTGGCAAAAACTGTAATTGAGTAAAATGTATTTTAAATAATAAATAATAATAATAATAATAATAATAATAATAATAATAATAATAATAATAATTTTATTTCTATACCGCCCTTCTCCCGAAGGACTCACGTACAGCCTAATTAAAAGCACAAAGACAAACAAAATTTAAAAATAATTAAAATAATTAAATAATTGGCTCAATTATAAAACCCCCAAATTAATGTGATTAATTGTATAAGATAAAATAGGGCCAATGCTCTGTTCAAAAAAGATAGATGGGTGAATGTGGGGGAGGGGGGAACCAATAAAACTTTTTTTTTTTTAAAGAGTTCTTTCCACGCGTGGATTGGCGAAGGGCCCCTTTCTCCCCCTCCCCCCCTTTCCTCGCGGGGGGGGGGTCTCTTGAGGTTCGGCGCCCCCCCTCCCCGGAGCCCCCCCTCCCCTTCGGCAGGGCAGCCCCCCTCGAGCCTCACCTCATGACGACGCGCTTGCCCTTCACGTCGACTTTATCGAGGGTGAGCTTGTGGGAGAGCGACATCTCGGCGGCTCCGGCGAAGCAAGCGACCTGCGGCTGATCGGCGAGCGAGCGAGGCAGGGAAAGAGCGCGGGAGGCCGCGGGGCTCTTCGGCAAGGTCGGGGGAGGCCACGCCCCGCCTCCGCCTCCTCTGGATAGGCTGACCCGCCTCCCCAGTTTCGCGCGATTAGCCGAGCCTGGCCGTCAATCTCGGGCAGGTGGTGGGGGCTGCTTTGGCCGATTCGGAAAGTCGCGTTTGGCCTGGTCGGAAAGCTCCGTTACCTCCACGCCCCCAGCGCCTTCCTTTTTGCCGAGTCCGGATTGGTCGCCGTCGGCGTCGCTCACGGCGCTGTGTGTTCAGGTTGGACGGTTTTCTCGTCCAATGGGGTTGCTTTCGGAAGTCAGCGATGGGAAAGTTCTGCGTCTGTTGTGGAGGGGAGGGGGGGGGTCCCTTTGAAGAGCATGCGCAGTTTTGCCTTATAAAGCAACCAAAGGCTTCATCCATCTATGGAGGTTTTCCCCCTTTTCCCTTGTAAAGCTCCCCCCCCACTCTCCCTCCTATCCTTAACTCTCGCTGACCCCAAAACTCAACTTGAGTAGAGAAAAAGACCAAAAAGTAAAACCTGGGTCCCTTCCTCCTGGCACCTACACAATTGCCTTTTCCTTTCTTTCTTTCTTTCTTTCTTCTTTCTTTCTTTCTTTCTTTCTTTCTTCTTTCTTTCTTTCTTTCTTTCTTTCTTTCTTTCTTTCTTTTCTTTCTTCTTTCTTTCCTTCCTTCTTTTCTCTCTTTTTCCTTCCTTCCTTCCTTCCTTTCTCCCTCATTCCCTCCCTTTCTTTCTTCTCTCTCTCTCTCTCTCTCTCTCCCTCCTTTTTCTTTCTTTCCTTCTTCCTTCCTTCCTTCTTTCTTTCTTTTCTTTCTTTCTCCCTCCCCTCTCCCTCCCTCTCTCTCTTCCTTCCTTCCTTTCTTTTCCTTCCTTCCTTCCTTCCTTTCTCCCTCATTCCCTCCCTTTCTCCCTCTCTCTCCCTCCTTTTTCTTTCTTTCTTCCTCTCTTTTTCTTTCTTTTTCTCTCTCTCCCTTCCACCTTTTTCTTTCTTTCTTTCTTCCTCTCTCTTCTTTCTTTCTCTCTCTCTCCCTCCCTCCCCTCTCGCTCCCTTGCTCCCTCTCCCTCCCTTCCTTCCTTTCTTTTCCTTCCTCCCTCCCTCCCTCTTTCTTTCTTTCTTCCTCTTTCTTTCCTTCTTTCTTTCTTCCTCTTTCTTTCCTTCTTTCTTTCTCTCTCTCTCCCTTCCTCCCTCCTTTTTCTTTCTTTCTCTCTCTCTCCCTCCCTCCCCTCTCGCTCCCTCTCCCTCCCTCCCTTCCTTTCTTTTCCTTCCTTCCTTCCTCCCTCCCTCCCTCTTTCTTTCTTTCCTTCTTTCTTCCTCTCTCTCTCCCTTCTTCCCTCCTTTTTCTTTCTTTCTTCCCTCTCTCTCTCTCTTTTCTTTTTTTCTTTCTTGATCCATTGTCAATTGCACCCTGCTGTTGGTGCTTTGCTTTGATGGATGCCGCAAGATAAAATTAGTAAAAAAGCTCGCAAAAGTCTGTGGTTGCATATGTAATTGATTCATTGTGCTGTTGGCTACTTTTTTATCCATCCTGGAAAATGGAAAAAAATTAACTCTTCGTGCAATTTGTATTATGAAATGAATCCATAATTGTTGTTAAAACTACTGAATCAAGTCAAAAATATTGCATTCTTTGATATTCTTCTTGAAACAAATTCGTTGCTACCAAGTCTGCATTTCACTTTTCTTGCCCTTGGTGCAGACTGGACTCGACTGGTCAAATTATAGAGAGTAAATTAATAACTTGGGTCAAGGTATAGGTGGTCAAGATACAACTTACACAGGTGGTCAATATAGAGAGAGGTTAAATGTCCATGGAGCTTCTCCAAGTCATGGTTGTCCCAAAGGTGCTTTTTCAGGAGGCAAGAGAACTTTCTGGTTTTCCTTTGAAGACATTTCGCTTCTCAGCCAAGAAGCTTCTTCAGCTCTGACTGGATGGTGGGGAATGGAAGGATTTATACTCCTTGCAGATACACATTTTGGATAGAGAGGATGGCTGGTTTGAAAGAGGGTCCAAGAGGCCATCTATGTCAAAATTGAATCTATCTCCAATCTTCAACACAGTCCTTTCAGCAGTTCCAAGAAGGCTCCACACCCATTTGCACTACTCAGGTGACCCCGAGGGCACAGGCAAACCTCCAGGAGACCATAACAACCCGCTAAAAGAATGCAGATGACCATCTGTCTGCAAGGACTATACCGTAAATCCTTCCATTCCCCTCCAGCCAGTCAGAGCTGAAGAAGCTTCTTGGATGAGAAATAAAACATCTTCAAAGAAAAACCAGAAAGTCCAATTTCCTCTTGAAAAAGCACCTTTGGACATAGATAGTGGTTGGCTTTCTATTGTGTACATAGGGTGCTCATCTGATCTACGAAAATTAGGTCAACTTAGGTGGTCAACCATGGAGGTTTTACTGTATCTAGTGGAGATGCTGATTCTCAAATTGTTGTGGATTCTGTTCATTTTCTAATGGAAGATGTAAACAGTATAAAGAATAAAATATATGTTGATATAAAACTTCTCACAGTTTTCTTATCAGCTCCAGCTCCACACCAAGCTCTAGTGCCAGAGTTTGGAGGTAACAGCATCACTAATTTCAACCTTCTCTAAACACTATTTTCCTTGGTGGCCAGGTGAGTTGACCTTCCTAACCTGTGCATTTATAAATAAGATTTATTGTTACTGTTTACTACTAAGTAAGATTTAAATAAAAGTGGTATTCTGCAAAGAAAATTGCAACATTTAACATTAGCTTCATTTTTAGAAAACTTTGAGGCTGCCCAAGTCTTTTTGGGAAATAAAAAATGATGTTTGAATGCAAAAGTGATTGTGAGAGAAAAAGAAATAGTACAAGCAACTCATAGAAACGGGTTAAAGGAACTTGCAAGAACTATGCATTCTCATAAATTGATGGAAGCTATTTTGTGAATAGATAAAGCTTTTCACACAGCAATATGCCATAGCGTCCTTTAAAATAGCCTGCATTTCTTAGCACACTTTTTAAATACCCTCTTCAATTTCACATATAATAAAATAAGCACAGCCAAGTCTTTAAGCCAGAGTTCCCCAATCTTTCTGGCTTTGTGGACTGGTTGGGGTGGGGGGGGGGAGGGGATGGTTCGGTGCGAGTGGTAGGCAAGTGTGCCCACACGCCCAGCTCCATTTCTGCAAGCAGCAGGCACGTGCATGTTGCTCGCACAACTGGAGATGTGTGTATGTGCGCTCAGCCATCATTTCTGCCGCCCGGTTCTGAACAATTGACAGCCTGGTAGTGGGCTGCAGCCCAGAGGGTCGGGGACCCCTGCTTTTAGCAACCTGAGTTCCATTAGCAGCGGTTTCTAGATTGTCCTGCATCAGCTTGTTTTATGGAGCCACGTGTTTGGGCTTTGCTAAGATGCTGCTTTGGTTATGTTTCCTTGACAGTAAGATGGGTGGCAGATAAATTTAATAAATAAACATTCACCTGTAAAGAGAGGAACATAGTCCCATCACTGTCATGGGATGTCATGTACTAGCCTTACAAGTCTCGATTTGTGGCAATGATTATTGCTGTTTTAGGTGAGTGTAGGGCGCAGACAGTAGACCAGAAATGTTCCTGGTTCATCTGTTGGAGAAAATTTACACTGCACTCTAGTTGCCAGAAAAATATTGATTAAAATTGAGATATTTCCAATTTTCACATCTTAACATTTCTAGAATGTAAATGTCTAGAATGTCATTTGATTTTTAGATAGTAATATTTGTAGATATACATACTGCTTACAATGAAATGTTTAAAAGATTCCATACATGGAAATAGTCAGGAAATAATGTCTACAGCAACCATCACATGAAAAATTAGTTACATAAAAGGAGTATCATAATGCATACCTAAACAATGTATTTATTTGGAAATGTGAAGTAGATTATATATTTGATGACAAACTCAATATACTTGTTAGTTTATTGCCGGAATACGTTTGATACTAATGACTGTATAATGGCAACCAGAAAAAGAATGGAGGGGAGAAAAAGACTCACAGAAAGAGAAATCATGCCAGATTTTCTTCACTGTTATTTGAGCAAATGGGCAGTATGCTAGAAACACTTCTAACTGAATTGACAGGTTTTGAAAAAAGAATTGGAGAGACTCATAAAAGTGGAAATGGAGATGAAAGAAGATGATAAGCTGTGTAAAACAAGTGTTTGAAGTTGTAAAACCGATAATAAAGTGGACATTTTAGAGCATAATATAGACAGAGTTGGAAAGAACTAGAAAATCTGGCTCTTTGGAATTGAGAGAAAAGGAATTTTGTTTAAGACTTAAAGCAATCCCAGAGATTTCTGGTGAAGATATTGGAGAAAAGATTATTAAAATCTTGGAATTTTGGGGGGGATTGGAAAGAGAATACGGGCAAAATCTGATAGAATATGTATATATATATATGTAGGTCTTTGGTTATTCGGGTTTTCTCCCGCGTAAAATTGGAGGTTTCTTGGCAACGTTTCGACGAAGTCTCATTCGTCATCTTCAGGCTGGTGTTCTTGGCTTCGTGCTTCTAGGAGCAATGATTATATATATATATATATGTGTATAGTTAATATTTTGGGTTTCTTCCCGTGTAATTGTGGATATATCCCTAAAAGGGTAGAAGCGACGTTTCGGCAGAATCCCATCTGCCATCATCAGGCTTATGCCAGTAGTCATTTGGAAGTGTCTTGGCGACGTTTCGACGAAGTCTCATTCGTCATCTTCAGGCTGGTGTTCTCGGCTTTGTGCTTCCAGGAGCAAAGAAAGTGCTCCTGGAAGCACAAAGCCGAGAACACCAGCCTGAAGATGACGAATGAGACTTCGTCGAAACGTCGCCAAGACACTTCCAATTTTACGTGGGAGAAGACCCGAATAACCAAAGACCTACATACAAACACCCGCGAACACCCGCGAAAACCTGAGAAAACAAATATATATATATATATATATATATATATATATATATATATATATATAGAGAGAGAGAGAGAGAGAGAGAGAGAGAGAGAGAGAGAGAGAGAGAGAGAGAGAGAGAGAGATCACTTTGTTAGGAAGAAGAGAAGGAATCAGGTTTTGCAGCAGCATTTAATATAAGGCCTAAAATCGTATAGGTAATACATGGTAATTGGGGTGGGAATTTCCATCACTAAGCGATGTCATAAAGTGAGACATCATGTGACTATTGCTTAGAGAGCAATCCCAGCACTCCCCATTGGCGTTGTTAACCAAATTCCACCTG